CTGGGGCTGGGATCGCGGGGCCAAGAGCCCGCAGCTAAAAGAACAGCTGCCAGCGCCCCGGCCAAGTCATTCCCCACCCGCCTCCCTCTGTCTCGTCTATTTCGACTGCCCCTTATTAGGGATACGTACAGGGCCTAGCGCAGTGGGGCCCTGATTTCCACTGGGGTCCCAGGAATAATGAGCAGACCCAGCTCCAAGCCTGAAGCCAAGAGCAGGGGACACACAGGCTGCGGATGCAGAGTCATTTGGGGAACTCTCCGGCTGCTGCTCAACCCTAGTGTAGACAGGGCCCTGGTGTCCATGCCACATGCTAGCTACCTCGGAGGTGAGATCACCAGTGCTCCAGCTACGCGAACAATCCCAACACTGCACCTCTTGCCAGAGGGCAACAAGGGGAGATGTCCCAAAAGATGCCAGGGGAGACGGGGGGCACAAGCGGCCCAATGCACCCAGCCAAGGCAGGACTGCCGGCTCCCCAGGGCACTTGGCGAGACAGATGCTCGCCCACCCCAGAATAACCCCAGCCGTGCACCTGCAGAAACATGCGCATGCTCACTCAGGACACGCGCCCCCAGATGCGCCCACGGCTGCGAGCTCCCCGGACTGCAGCGCTGCTACAAAGATTGACACCAGCTGGGCTGCTGGGCCAGCCACCGCGCTCGCCCCGGCAGCAAACACAGCCGTGTGCCCATAGCCGCACGTGTGTGTCCGGACAGCTCCGGGCGCAGACACGGGAAAGCCAGCGTGTTGCTAGCTGGTTTTCACCACCCAGCCTTTCGGGTTGCAACACGACGCCTGGATCGCTCGCTTGCCGCTGGGGATATGGACATAAAAACACATCTCCCTGCCAAACCAGACGCCGCTTTCTGGGCACAGCTTCCCTGCCACTCTCTCCTGCCAGGCTAGGGTGATCAGACAGCAAATGTGAAAAATCAGGATGGGGGTGGGCAGTAATAGGAGCCTAGATAAGAAAAAGACCCAAAAATCGGGACTGTCCCTATAAAATCGGGACGTCTGGTCACCCTATGCCAGGCGCACACAGCTAGAGCGGCTGCAGCTCCCCAAACACCTTCCCAAGCCGACTTCTCTCCCCCGAGATCAAGGCCGAGTTAGCTTCGGTGGGAGAAAGGGGCCTGAGCCCCAGAGCCAGGCACTGCCAACTCCAGGGGGGAAGGCTAGAGAAGCGTTTGCGGCAGATCAGTTGGAATCCAGACCTGGAGCTGGATCACAGCATTGTAACTGGACCGTTAGCCAGTCCGCAAGTCCGTCCTGCCTTGTCTGCCCGTCTCTCGGGGTGCATTGGAGCTGCAGTCTACCCAGGCATCTGTTGGGACCTCTCCCAGCATTGCACCCTGGCAGTCTTGGGAGCACGAGTGTAGACAGAACCCTGGTGGGCTTCCCTCCCAGCCATCTAGACCTGCTCCGAGCCGGTTCAGACCACGCGGTAGCCTGCACACCAGGACCTGGTCTCCACTAGTCTGCCCCTCTGGTGGAGCAGCACTGGGAGCGCTCCCCTAAACGCCCGGGCAGATCCCGCCTGTGCGCTGGGGTTGGCACATCATCACACTGGCTGTGCGCGTGGCAGGGGGCAACAGTCTTCAGTCTATGGTTCATGTTAGTGCCTGGGAGCCCAATCTCAGTCGTGGCCCGTTTGCCCCAGGGTCTGCACAGCCCCAGAGCAAGAGACAGCCCCTGCCCGTGGAGCTCCCAGTCTAACAGGCCAGACAACGGGAGGATAGTTTCAACTTTCAGAGGGGAAACTGAGGCAGAGAGAAATTAAACTGCTTTGCCCTAGGTCCCATATATCAGAGCTGGGAAGCGAACCCGGGTCTCTTGAACCTTAATACCAGCACCGTGGCACATGCCAGCACCTGGCAGAAGTGGTTGGCGTCCTACGTACAGCATCTGAGCGCTGCTGCAGCCATTAACCTGGGAAACACACACCCAGCCCCACCCCACTCTGGAGTCCCAGCACAGACACCGATCAGGAGGGAGGATGGTGAGCGCCGGCAGGGGCAGTACCCCTGGCACAGAAGGGACGCCCCCTTCGCTGCATGGGCACCCCCTGCACCTCCCGGAATTGGGCCCGCCATTCCCATGTCAGTATTGGCATCCCAGCCCATAGGACGCTGCGCGGGACTGCACGTCTCTAACCAGGCAGCCTGGACACTCCAGCTAGGGGGTTTCATTTAACAAAACAATTATTTTTGTTTCTGGCCTTCATGGTCGTGAAGAAAACCTCCCGAATATGAACCACTCCGGCGCTGCCCTCTTGAGTCGGCACACAGACATGACAGCGTTGATTCTGAAACCTAATGAGGGCCATGTTCCCTCGTTCACTGACACTCATTGAAGCCCTTCCACTGAAGCTGTGGGTGGAGTTTAAGGTTGTGGGCGGAGCTTCACACCTGATGCTCCGTACACCCAGCAGCGAGAGCGAGGAGAAACACGGCCCTGTGTCAGAACGGGAAGGGTCTTTTCTTCCTGAGTTTTGCCCTGCTGCGGAAAGAGACAGAACACATCTCATTGCCCCTTGCCACCCGCGCCACGTTTGCCTTGCGTCTTCCACCAAGGAGCCTCTCAGACGCCCGACAGCCAAGCACAGTCTGCCTGGGAAATCGGGAGCTCTCGGGCAGGCAGGGCGACCGGAGACGCAGGCAGACAAGGGTTGGGGCGGCCGGCTGAGGAAGTGGAGCAGCAGAGATAGTTCAGTGAGGGAGTGGCGGGAATCAGAGCCGGGGGCGTCTCAGATGGGGACTGCAGAACCGCGAGTCACCGCCTATGAGTGGAGAGGCCGTTCCAGACCATGGGGTCCGGCTCTTCCGCCCACTCGGGAGAAAGACGGTGGAACTCACTGCCCCAGGAAGTTGCTGCGGCCCGAAACGTCGCAGGTCTCAGAAAGGGATTGGACATTTCTCTGGCTAACCAGCATTATCCCAGTTAATGGTAGGACAACTTTGGGACAGGATATTAAATTCCCTGCTTCCGGGGTGAGCCAATCGCTATTAGAGACCTAGATCATCTCCCATCTGCTGCTGGGGGGTTCTCACACCTTCCACGATCAGAGACGGGATACGGGGCTAGATGGATCCATTTTGCCAGTGCCTGTGTTCCTAAGGATGTAGGGGGTGGGGAGAAGGCTCTATGGTGGGTTGTGAGCACTGCGGAGAAAGGCAGCGGAGCGTCCCGAGGGTGGGCTGAATGGGTCGTTGCTTCCAGGGCCAGCTGAGGGGAGGGGTGGCTGCATTTTGGGGAGACCAGCACCGAGGAGGGACCGGCAGCAACCTAAGTGGAAGAGTCTCGGAGGAGAGCCCAGATAGTGATGGGGACAGACAGCCCCACACCGGGCATTGACCCCGGGCCTGCAGAGCTAACAGCGCGGGAGCTCAAGGGCCTGGCACTGGAGCCTGACCAGAGACGGACCCTGTGTGGAGCAGCACAGGGGGGACACAGAACACACCATCCCGTGGGTGACGCCAGCTCCGTTCAATACATGCTCCAGAGCCAGCATCCGGCGCACATCCCACGCAGAGCGGGGACCCCAGGAGAGAGACCCGGCTCGGGGCTTTGCCGTACCAGGGTGGCTCCTAGCAGCTGGAGAAGAGACACGAGGAGAATGCTGCATCAGACACTACCAGCTCAGTGACTCTCGGGCGCTCCGGCCCCCTCTCCATGGCCAGGGCCTAGGCTGGGCTTGGGGACAGCATCACCTGCCCTCCTGTCAGCCAACCTGAGGAGATTCCTCCCTTTCTCCCTCCCCACGCAGCATCCAACGGAGCAAGCAGACGGTGGGCGAGACCCTGTTTCGTACCCCTCTCCCCCCATGCAAGGATGGATGGCCTTCTCCATCAACTAGGCTTTATGCGGGCCGGTGCGCCGCGATTCGGAACAGACACGGGCCCCGGCGCTTCCGAGATGCAGGGGAAACAACGGGAGGAGGAGAAGCCCGCAGCAGACGAGGAACCCGCGGCCTCTCCCAGAGGAGCCAGAAGGACCAGCGAGCATCCGAGCAGCAGAGGCAGGTGAAGGAGCAGGACGGGGGGCATCGGGAGGCCAGTGGACTAGACTCTTCCCGCACGTCACCCCAAATTTACCTGCTGCATCCACTGCATATTTGCAGCACGATGGGTTACGGGCGCCCGGACTGACGGGCGCCCGGGATACAAGAAGCTGCCCCACGCACCCGGCCTGCGGCTGCACCCTGCCCAGATGCCCGCGTGCGGTGCAATGCACGTGCCCCCAAAGGAAAGCCGGCACGAGAGCACCGGCAGCGCTCTCCCCAGCGCCCCGGGGACAGCCACACACCCAGATCAGCCAGGCAAGCTCCCAGCAGCCCCCGGCTCCAGACCAAGCGATCCCCAACCAGCAGCTGATGCCGAGATCAGGGGCTGAGTATCGGCATCTCCGCCAGCTCCAACCAATGGCCATCCGAGCAGCACCGGGACAAGAACCCCTCCGCTCTACCTGCCGTGAAGGGGGCACACCGGGGAGCTAAGTGAACCAGTTGGAAATGTGTGTGCTTTAAACGCCCAGAGTGAAATCAACAGCAAAAAATCCCACTGACCTCCCCGGGGCCAGGATCTCACTCCGCTTTTAGGGGCCGGGGAGTAGGAAAGATCGTTCACCTGCAAAGCAGCAACCACCTCTGCACAAGGCTCGCTGGGTGCCCAGAAGGACCCAACGTTTGCTGTGTGTACAAAGGAAAGGCGCCCGGCGCTGGGAACGGGAGGGACGAGCTTTACTTTCCCCCGGGCAGCAGGGAGCAGCCCAGGTCCCCAGCGGCGCTTTGTAACCGGACACTGCAGCCCCGGCGGGACCCCGGAGTGTGTCACCTTGAGCGACAATCCGGACCCAAGCGCAGGAACGAAGCTGAGGAGAGCGGAGAGAGGCTCGCCCCCCCCCCCCCCCCCCCCCCACCCCCTTCCCGAGTCAGAGCGACTCCAACCCGACCGGGACCCACGACACAAGGAAACTTTGCCGCGATGGGGGCAGCTCCTTACCTTGGCTTCGCATTTCCTGTGACAGGACAGCTTGCACCCTGCAAGAGAGAGAAAGAAACCAGGACTCAGTAGCGAGCTCACCTCCCCGGCTCCGAGCGCAGGGAACCGGGCCGGCTTCCCGGGGACAAAGAGGGACCGCCCGGGACAGAAACACCAACCAAAACAAACTCTCCAGGCTGCTGCGGGAAACACAGGCGCAGGCCGGGGCGGAGGAGGGGGAGGCAAGCGAAGCACCTGGCACCTAGCCAAGGATAGCCTCGGCGGCACAGGTACGCCGGAGCGCGCCGGCCCACGGCAGCAGCTCGGCTCCTCGGGAACATACTGAGCACATTGTGCTGAGCTGCCTGCCGCGCTGTCAGAGCCTGCCCCGGGGCTCAGGGTTCGCCTGCCTACCCCTTTTTCTCCCCCCCCCCACCCCCTTCCTCTTTCTTTCGTGACTGCACAGTACACACGGAGCAGGCCCGGCCCGCCCTCTCGCTCCAGGAGTCATGTTCACTCCAGCAGGAATGTTCAAAATGCGGCCCGGTCCCCTCCTGCTTTTCCACGCCGGCTGCTCAGATATTGGTGCTGGGGAACAAAAGAGGAGTTTTTGCTGCCTCCTGTCTCGGAGCCAGGATCTCGGCCGCTGCAGACCCAGCCGGGCAGGGCAGAGCCAGGGGGCGAGCAGAAGGGGGACCCTCGGAGCACCCTGAGCGTCAGGAGATTTGGGCTGTGGGGTAGCGCGAAAGCAGGGGTGCGCAGGGGGTGCCCATTCTCCATTTGCCGGGCATCCATGAGGCCAGACCCGCCTGGCACGTCAGCACCGCCGGCGCTCTCAGACAGGCCCGGCCTGGATGAGCAGGAGGGCTGGGGTCAGGCCCTGCCTTCGCTCGCGGGATTCCCCTGGGTCCCGGGCTGCCGAGCAGGGCACTGGTTCCGGTTCCAGGGAGGGCCGGGGCTGGGCTAGCAGGGGGGATATCGAGGGGAAGCGGCAGGGGGCTGTGGATTGGGGCAGCAGAGCAGAGTGAGGGGGGCTGTGGATCAGGATGGAGGGAAAGCGATAGAGGTGGGGGAAGGGAAGCCAGGACCCCAGGACAGGACTTGCACCAGACCAGCGACAGCCCGGGCTCGGCCTGCTGATGGCCACCTCCAGCAACGCGACAGGACCCGATGGGCCAAACGGGCCAATTTCTCTGAGGGGAGCCCTCCCGGGAGCTCGGCTCTCCAGCTGCTCACTCAGGAGAACCCAGAGATAGGGAGGCAACATGCATCTTCCCGGGGCCCTGCTGGACGGGGGACGCCACCATCCGGTCCTGCTCTGGGAGCGATGGAGACAGGCCAGGCGGTGCAGCCTGCAGGCCCCAGCCCTGACGGCAGCCTGAGTCACCCCTCACAGCCACCGATGTCCGAGCTGCAGGGATTGTCTTAGGCCACCCGGGCCATGGCTCTGATGGGGGCTAGCGTCTCCCGCGGCCCCGGGCAGAGCCTGGCACTCAGCTAGCATTGCCAGGTATCCAGCTTACATCCAGCCCCTACTTTACCTGCCCTCCCCCACGCCCACTCCTGCCAGCTGCCAGCCTGCAGCTCACCCCTCACTCTCTGCTTGCGCCGGCTGCACACGATGGGCCCCAGCTGTCCCCGGAGGCCTGTACAATGGGATCCTGAGGCCAGGCATGGCAGTGCCATAGGGAACCGACCCCCCGCCCTCTGCTAGCAACACCACTGCTCCACGCCAACCTGGAAGCTGGGGCCCGGCAGGTGAGCTGTTCAGAGCAGGGCGGAGACAGCCACACTTCTGCGGTGCTAATCCATCGCCCCTCTCTCGGGACCTCCAGCTGCCCTGGAGTCCTGCTGGCCAGCCCCCGGCTCTCCTCACCCGGTCACACCCTCCTTCCCTTCTCCCACTGAAGGGCCAGAGACCGAGACGCTCCACTCCCTGTTTAAGTGATCACAGGCAGGGAAGGGAACGTCTCTGTTCCTCAGCCCGCCCATCGCTGCCAGGGCCCGTCACAAGCGCTGCCCAACACTATATCAGAGAAGCCCTGGGTACTTAGATGGTCTCCAACTGCCCATCACCATAGTATCTGGGCCAGGATCCTCCCTATAGCTGTGGAGACAGCATGGCTAGAGCATTGAATTAGAATTCAGGAGACCTGGGTTTGAGTCCCAGCTGTGTGTGACCTTAGGCAAGTCACTTTCCCGCTCCGTGCCTCAGTTTCCCCACTTTACAGAGGGAAATGACACGGAGCTCCTTTGAGCGCTACAGATGAAAAGCGCTAAATAAATTATATAGGATTAGATCAGCTAAAAACCACCCGGTCTCTGTGTAGCTGCACTGTTGATTGAACATGCCACATATGACGCAACCTGCAAACGGAAGCCCCCGCTGCAATGCTACGCGTTCGATATTTGACACAATTTCAAGACTCGGCATCAAGAGTGAGAATCGCCTTCCCAGGCTTCCATTCTCCGACTCCAGACTGCTCTGAAACGGAGAGAGCGTTTGAAAATCCCAGCTCGCTTTTTTCCAGCCCTGGGGCTGTGTAATTTACCTTTCCCTTTTTTTTTTTTTTTTGCAGCTCACTCAGCTAGGGAGTGTGAAACCAGCCAGGTCAGTTTCCTGCCATTCCTCTCTCTAGGGCTGCAGGGCTCGCATTACAGAACCACAGAGGGACTCTTGCAGGCCGCTCTGACCTGCACGGAGATGGTCTAAGAACGGGACCTGCGAACTCCGGAGACCTGCTCCCTAGGCAGATCTGCGTGGGAGCAGGCCCTGGAAACACGTGCTTGGTTTTAGTAGATCAGGGCCTACAATACATTGGTTTATTCTCAGGTGGTGACATCTTGGCCCGACTGATGTCAACAGCAAGACGCCAGGCCAGCCATTGTCCCTGCAGAGCCGACGCAGCTCCAGGAGAGCTGGTGTGAGGCCAGCGCCTGGCACCACCACACTAGGTTCTGATGCAGAGTCCAGGAAAATGCTGCCGGTCAGCAGGCAGGAAAACCCCTCGGGTCACATGAGCCACTGAGCACGCCTGGGCCCGGCCCCGCCCCGCTGTGCCACTTCCAGGCAGACCGGCACTTTCAGTCCAAAACGCACCCGATTCGCTCCAGTCCGTCCAGCAAAGCGAACCCTGGGAACCCGTCTGTCCCCATTAGGGATCGAACATCCCTCTCATGCTTTCCCTCGTTCCCACCCAGACGCCAGGCACCGGGGCCCTCGGCACAGAGCAGAAGTGCTGCCCAGGAACCAAGGCAGGTCCTAGCCGGATTGAAGCGAATGGCTGGGGCCGGGGTGGGGATATTTTAAAGGGCTTCCCTCCCTCCACTGGCCCCATCTAGCTCCTCCCTGGGGAAGAAAGCAGAGTGGGATTGCATGGGGCATTCTTCCCTGGCTACACAGCCGTGTCTCCCTGCTAGGCACAGGCCCTGGGTCTCTGCAGCTGGCCTCAGCACATCTAGAGGGAGGAAGGGTGAGGCACAGGACAGGGATCCAGGACACCTGGGTTCTCTTCCCATCTCGGATTTCCTCTGAGGTCTTGGGCAAGTCACTTAACTGTTCTGTGCCTCAGTTTCCCCAGATGTAAAATAGGGGCAGGGCTGTGTCAGAGGCACCTAGAGCTCCTCCCACAAGCCCATTCTCACAGGCTTGTGGCCCAATCCAACCAGTTATTGCCGTGCTATCTCCCACAGCACCCCACGCTCAGCCCGGCCGATGGCTGATCTGCACAGCCAGCGGGCACAAAGCAGGGCTGGCCCAGTGCAGAGCTGGAAGGTTCAGGGACTGATCCTGCGTGGATCAGGGCCCTGGAGAGATCCCAGAGACCAGCAGCTACCGCGCATTTCCCCAGGGGGCTGTGTCAGTCCCCGGCTCCCTATCCCACGGGGGCACGGGCTGGCATACGGTGGTGATCCCGCCAGGCAGCATTCGAGAATCGCCACGTGCCTGAGCTGAGACAGGCTGCCCACGGCTGGGCACAGACAAAGCCGATCATCAGCTGCTGCCTGGTGCACTCCCAGGAGACCCACCAGCTGGGTAAAATACCCACACAATGGGCCAGGCCTCAGTTGGCAGGAGAGCGCCAGCAAACCCAGCACTGGGGGGCTGGCTGGCTCACGGCACTTCCTTTGCAGGGGGACCTCCACGCCCCCGGGTTTCAGCCCTGTCTTAAGCTGTCTGGCGCTCGCATTTCTGAACCCTGCTGCAGATGCCAGCACCGCGTAGGCGCTGCCCGCCAGCCCTTGGCAAGTCCCAGCAAAGCCCCCGGCCAGGTAAAGTTCCCCACCCCCAGGGGTTTACGCTGCAGTTTGCAGCCCTGCCAGAAACAGCATCTGTTCCTTTGATACAACACAGTCATTGTTCCTGGCGGGGAGAGGAGGGGGGGGCCTGGCCTGGCCTGGCCAGGATTCAGTACCTTGGCTGTTCTAACCCAGGGAGATCGGTTGAACTAGGCGCTAGTGCAGGACTCCTGGGTTCTCAGCCCCACTCTGCCACTGACTTGCCGGGCACAGTAACAGCCCACGGCTGCCTCAGTTTCCCCCTCTGGGGATGAGAACGTTCCCTAAAGGCTGCGAAACACGTCCACGGCCGAGAAGAGCAACAAGCTGCAAGCTACTCCGGCAAGGGAAGGGTCCCCTCTGGATGCAACTGAAGAGCGTTTGGGGGCGGGGGCAGGGGAGGCTCTGTATGCAAAAGTACACCCCGCCCCCATGGGCTGCGGGGAGCCCCACCCCAACACTCCCTCCCTGCAACACCTGCCCGGCCCCGCCCCCTCCGAACGAGACTCACCTGCCCCCCCTTCCATGCTGGCCGGCAGGGAGACCTGGCTACTGGGGGTGGCCTTTTAACCCCATCCCTGCCACAGCCCGTGGGAAGTCACACTAAGAAAGGCCAGGAGGGGATGACTTCGCTCAGTGTCCTTTGCGTCTCTGCCGTGACCGTGTACAAATGGCCCCTGGGTGTGTGTCAGAGGAACAGACAGCCCCAGGTCCAGCGAGCCCCGCGGCCGGCCTCTGACCATGGGTTCAGAGAGACGGGTACGAACCCGGCAGTCGCAGC